ACATACAAGCAGGAGGAACACAGAATCCCTACAGACTCCCTTTTTTTTTTAAATTGCGGACTGAAATGAGAGCAGAACTCTTTTCAAACGAAGGATTGCTGTATGTATTTGAAACTGGACATCCATTGTAAGCACTGTTTGCACAGCTGCCAGTTCCAACTAAAGCATAGTTTGCAGACAAGCTGGAGCCAAGGGCATTCAGCTGTCAACAAGGAGCTGATTGGTCTGTGGACTTGTGACCAGTTATCAATGACAAAGACTTTCTGCCTGACAACAACTACATGATTGGTTCTCAGATTGGGGAACAGCTTGGGACTACGGACAAAGTGAAACCTTCAGAAGTCTACCAGTTCAGGAGCTCTCACTGTTCTCTGCAGTAAAAGCCACTTCAAGCCTGAAGAAAACTGGTTTATTATTCCTCCAGCAGTTGCTGTAAGCTGTGATTTTTAATAAATCAGATACCTTTTTATAAGTGTGAGCCAGCGACCCTGTGCCTCTTACAAACCAGTGGAAGCATCTGGAGAAGGAAGACCAAGAAGCAGCATTCTGACTAGCACAGGAATTGTAAGAATGATCTCAGGAACCCCTGTAAACAGGGACTACTGAACTGCATTCCCACCTTTTCCCATTCCTCATAACATCTATGTTTTTTCCTTGTGCGTGTGAGACAGACTGTATACGTATTCGTGTGTGTCTGTGTGCACGTGTGTGAGTGAGAGAGAAAGAGACTGTGTGTGCATTTGTGTGTGTGTGTGTGTGTGTGAGAGAGAGAGAGAGAGAGAGAAAGAGACTGTAGGTGCATTTGTGTGTGTGTGTGCGTATGTATGTGAAAGAGACTATGTGTGCAATTGTGCGTATGTGAGACTGTTACTGCGCCTGTGTGTGTATGTGTATGAGTGTGTCTGAGACTGTGTGTGTATGTGTGTATGTGTGTGTGAGACTGTGTGTGTGTGTGTGTGTGTGTGTGTGTGTGCATTTATGTGTATGTATCTCTGTGTGTGTTTATGTGTGAGTGTGTCTGTGTGCACATGCATGTGTGTATTTGCATGTGTGAATGTGTGTGTGCGCGCAAAGGCAGAGTTTATGAAGGGGTTATAATAAATATATAACTTGTAAAAAATAGTAAATCCTATTAAGCACAGAAATCTGGCCTATGCTTTCTGTCAGCCTGCATCTAAAAGACAGGAAAATGGGGGAATCCTGTGTACTTTTGAAAAGCTGGAACTTCTGTGATGATTCCCTGAATAGTGAGGCTTGATTTGCAGTATGCTACCCCAGTGAGGAGTGACACTACAAACGTCTCTGACTGATCGGTGAGTCCCAGCCTGTGGCAACTTTCCAACCCTCAACAAGAAAGACCCGTACAGGTAGAGCTGACCCAAAGGGAGAGGCACGCAATCTGTCGTGCTGCCTGAACAGTGAGACAGCAAGTTGGGTTCGAATCTTGGGAGTGTGCTGAGGTGCGGAGTGGAATGTGAGTTATGTCGCTCACAGCTTTGAATTTAATGGCAACTTCGCCGTGCTTCTTGCGTCAGGCTCAAAACAACGAAGAAAATGGAGTCAAATGCTGCCCTTTTCACCAGCTGGTGCCATATGCAGCCATGGCTCCATTGGCAGGTCTTTCTTTTGGCCTTTGAGCCGCCTGGCACAGCTCGCAGACTGTCCAATGGCTGGGAATGGAGTGGCTGCTTTAAAAAAAGAAACAGAGCAGACCCTCGGCTCTTTAAGGAATGAGGAGCGGGAGTAGGCTATTCAGCCCTTCGAGCCCAGTCTTCCATTTAACATGATCGTGGCTAATCTTATCCTGGTCTCAACTCCACTTTCCTGCCCGCTTCCCATAGCCCTTTATCTCATTTAATGAGCACAAAAGCTTGTCAATTAGCTGTTACAAAATGACGGCAGGTTCCGAATTCTGCACTGTTCGGGAATATCGGAGATTGGCGTGACCAATGTTGCGCAGCTGTAGCTCAGTGGGTATCATTCTTGTCTTGGCTTCAAATCCCACACTGAGACATTAGCAGAAGGATATAGACTGGCATCCAGTGCAGTACTGATGGAATGCCACACTAATGGAGATGCATCCTTCTGGACAGATGATAAATTGAGGTCCAGTTCTGAGGAAGAGTCACCAGACCCGAAATGTTAAATCTGTTTTTAACTTCACAGATGCTGCCAGACCTGCTGAGCTTTTCCA